GGGGGGGGGGGGGAGTGGAAGGGGCAGCAGCACTTACAGTTACCAACAAAGACATTTTTAATTCTAGAATTTTCCGTATGACTTGGTCAGGACATGAAAACAATAAAAATTATTAGATTCGTGAGCGCTAGGCCTGAATGGTTCATAAAACTTTGAAAGCTGGCTCACCTAATCATGAGTGACCAAATATGTCTGTTTATCTCTCTTCTTCCAAAAAACTAGAGAATTTTGTCATAGTTCTAAATGCCTGTAAAAATATGATGTCATCTAGATCCCAATGCATTTGCCTTTGCAGATTACAGAGGTGAAGGCATACACCAGGATGGCAGGAAGGCAATGACCACCGAGAATAGATGCAGATGCGGCTTATATATCAAATAACAAGATAATATCAAAGCTGACCTTTCCATAGCCACCAGATCCAAGATCATTGGTTTCTGAGAAGTTGTTTGTGCATCTCTTGAGCTCCTCAAACGAGAAAAATCTTGCTCCTTTTAACTGAGGAACACCTCCACTGTTTTGTCTGGGTTCCAAGATGCTTGATAGGTACAATACTGATATTGGTGAAAACCCCTAAGGAGACATAATTGATAAAATTGCTTTGTTGAGATTAAGGCCAGGACTTACCAAAAGGATTATTCTGTTTATCAGCTCTTCTCTTTTGACGGAAAGCATAAACTCCTGCGAGGAGTACTAATATCACAAGGACAGAGCCACCAACTGCTGCTCCGATGATGACACCAGTACTTGTTGATTTATGGGTTCCTGGAGATATACCAGAAGGAGAACATATGAGAGAGAGAGAGAGAGAGAGAGAGAGAGAGAGATGCATCATAAAACAATAGAACGACCTTCACAAGAATTCTCACATGCTCACATGAAATACTCAATCACCTGCGAAGTTTCCATAGCCATCACCATGGAAGACAGACGGTCCAAATCCACTGGGAGGCTTGAAAGTTTGGTTGCTCAGCACAAACCCTATTCCAGAAATTCGACTTTGGTTGAAACGGTTTAGGCCAGATGGGAAAATTCTCACGTCCAGTATGACGTAATCATCTGAATTTTTGGTTGGATTACTCAAAGAAACTGAATCCACAGGGAGTTGATGGGACTGAAAAAAAACCATCATAGAACTTTGAAGGGACGCATAAATACTCAAATTTCTCAGGTCAAAGAAGGAAGGAGCTCTGAAAGTTAGGGTGCCTGTGTATGGATATGCACATTTACAATTGGGGCTGGATAACTGATTTGAACCACTTGTGGTAGGCAAGCAATTATTTGGGGGAGTTGAATATGAGGAATAATTGGACGGCTCGGGAATGACACAGTAGTTTTCTGTCTGACTCTGTCCTGTTTCCTGACAAATTGGGTTACCTACAAGTCTGCAGGAAATTGAAAAATAAATTACACCAATCGGGTAAAACGATTCATGACATAAATATTAAAGATAAAGTATAATGGCCTTCAAATCATGACGGATATAAAATGGTCAGAAGAATAAAAGGACGTAGCTTACATCAACTCCTTTTTGTATCCCACGCTCTGTGCATAATCAGCAATATAATTGTTCTGCAAATCAACGAGCTGCAGTTTATTGCTGTAGCTGGGGCCAATATCTAAAGTGCTATTGAGCTGTTTTGTTCTTCAGTATGCTGTCATGTCAAAACANTGTACTCCTCTCGGGGAGGATGCAATAAATGCACTGTATTAGGAGCATTTATTGCCTTTCATTTTCGAGCCTTACCGCATTAAATGCGGTCTCATCAAAGGAATGGTATAATTAATAGTTTGCTTTCCCAAGTCGCGTGTCAGTAACGGCATGCGGTTTCTCTGTCTTCGATGTGATATCATACGCCAAGCGTCCATCCCTTATTGACTGTGACCCCTGCATTCCAGTACGTTCTGACACTAATTGTGTAAGACGAGGTCATGATGACTAACCTAGGCTAATGACCTGTACGTCAATAGCTTATCCTGGAGTAGAGGAAGCGTCCAGGACGGGGTACCTCTCGGCACCGAGGAAAGGCTCATCTCGGAACCGAGGGAGGTATGCCGACCGAGGTACCATATTAGACCGAGGCCACGTGTCGGTTGTAAAACATACTGAATGCATGATCCTATATGACGAGTACCTCGGGGGCGAGGACCTTTGTGCGCCAATGGTGCTTAATCTTAGCAACAGTGTTTTTGTAATACCGAGGACACGTGTCTTCATCATGGTGTATTTCAGAAAAGTCCCATCAGTAATCCTATTCTGGAAGAATGATGAACTCGGATTCAACTTTTTTCGATAAGAAATAGCAACTATATTAATAAGGTAAAAAATAGTTTCAAAAAAACAATCAAAGGTGGCAAGTCGTTCAGACCACTGATAGGTCAAAAGGAGAAACATACAAGCACAACTATAGATATTAAAACCATACTACATACCACACAAAGATATCCAACTTGAGAAAATGCAAAAAGGAGGGACATTCTCAAACTCTCGGATTTCAACTTTTTAATGATCTAAGTTACTGATGCAGAACATTACTAGCTGAAATCTTTAGAAATGCCATTCAATTATTTCAATTTTTGGTAAGCCGTGACCATGAGTTATCAAGTATGCAAATCAAAGCATAAATAGCATTAGTATTCATATGAAGTGAAGGTTAGGAAATCATCAGAAGCACCTGAAAGACTTTCCTTCAGTGTACCATTTGGAATATACTCGTAGACCAGCATCTGTTCAACTTGCTCGAAACAGAAGCCCACTAGGCTGACAACATTCTTGTGATGAACCCTTGAAAGAAGCTCAATCTCAGTTTTAAACTCAAGACCACCCTGCATAGATCCGTGTTGAGCTCTTTTGATGGCAACCAGTTGTCCGCTGGGAAGAGTTCCTTTATATACCTAAAAACATAATAAAAATTTTTAAATCTGAGAATCATACAGCGGCAAAATTTTAGGAGAAATATATTGAGAAGGTTGAGACTTGAGAAAATCTTGATGAACAAATCCTTAAATGAGAAGAGTTATTTTCAAATAGAAGTTAGTGAGGTTTTTTGTTTCATTTATTTATTTTTGGGGGGAGGGGGGCAGCAGCACTTACAGTTACCAACAAAGACATTTTTAATTCTAGAATTTTCTGTATGACTTGGTCAGTACATGAAAATGATAAAAATTATTAGATTCATGAGTGCTAGGCCTGAATGGTTCATAAAACTTTGAAAGCTGGCTCACCTACTCATGAGTGACCAAATATGTCTGTTTATCTTTTTTCTTCCAAAAAACCAGAGAATTTTGTCATAGTTCTAAATGCATGTAAAAATATGATATCATCTAGATCCAAATGCATTTGCCTCTGCAGATTACAGAAGTGAAGGCATACACCAGGGTGGCAGGAAGGTAACGACCACCGAGAATAGATGCAGATGCAACTTATATATCAAATAACAAGATAATATCAAAGCTGACCTTTCCATAGCCACCAGATCCAAGATCATTGGTTTCTGAGAAGTTGTTTGTGCATCTCTTGAGCTCCTCAAATGAGAAAAATCTTGCTCCTTTTAACTGAGGAACACCTCCACTGTTTTGTCTGGGTTCCAAGATGCTTGATAGGTACAATACTGATATTGGTGAAAACCCCTAAGGAGACATAATTGATAAAATTGCTTTGTTGAGATTAAGGCCAGGACTTACCAAAAGGATTATTCTGTTTATCAGCTCTTCTCTTTTGACGGAAAGCATAAACTCCTGCGAGGAGTACTAATATCACAAGGACAGAGCCACCAACTGCTGCTCCGATGATGACACCAGTACTTGTTGATTTATGGGTTCCTGGAGATATACCAGAAGGAGAACATGAGAGAGAGAGAGAGAGAGAGAGAGAGAGAGAGATGCATCATAAAACAATAGAACGACCTTCACAAGAATTCTCACATGCTCACATGAAATACTCAATCACCTGCGAAGTTTCCATAGCCATCACCATGGAAGACAGACGGTCCAAATCCACTGGGAGGCTTGAAAGTTTGGTTGCTCAGCACAAACCCTATTCCAGAAATTCGACTTTGGTTGAAACGGTTTAGGCCAGATGGGAAAATTCTCACGTCCAGTATGACGTAATCATCTGAATTTTTGGTTGGATTACTCAAAGAAACTGAATCCACAGGGAGTTGATGGGACTGAAAAAAAACCATCATAGAACTTTGAAGGGACGCATAAATACTCAAATTTCTCAGGTCAAAGAAGGAAGGAGCTCTGAAAGTTAGGGTGCCTGTGTATGGATATGCACATTTACAATTGGGGCTGGATAACTGATTTGAACCACTTGTGGTAGGCAAGCAATTATTTGGGGGAGTTGAATATGAGGAATAATTGGACGGCTCGGGAATGACACAGTAGTTTTCTGTCTGACTCTGTCCTGTTTCCTGACAAATTGGGTTACCTACAAGTCTGCAGGAAATTGAAAAATAAATTACACCAATCGGGTAAAACGATTCATGACATAAATATTAAAGATAAAGTATAATGGCCTTCAAATCATGACGGATATAAAATGGTCAGAAGAATAAAAGGACGTAGCTTACATCAACTCCTTTTTGTATCCCACGCTCTGTGCATAATCAGCAATATAATTGTTCTGCAAATCAACGAGCTGCAGTTTATTGCTGTAGCTGGGGCCAATATCTAAAGTGCTATTGAGCTGTTTTGTTCTTCAGTATGCTGTCATGTCAAAACAAATGTACTTATAGTCAACAGTTCCAACGTTTGGGATGCATCATGACCAGAATCACTTGAATTGAGATCTGAAGAAGATTATATGATTTGTATCTTTGGAATCCCTAGACTTAGTACATAAATACAGGATCACCTGAGATTGAGAAACAACTCACACGGTCTGCAAGAGAGGGAGGCTGAAGAGGCCAACTGGAACTTGTCCTTGAAGTTGTACGCGTTCCATAACTCTGCCAGTTCAAGGTTAGTGAACTTATTTGGTGAATGCTTTGGATCTTCCAAATGAATGCATGACGTACACAAACACAAATATATAGAAAGAGAGAAATATATATATATACTAGTTAATGTAACATCAAATGAAGACACTTTGTAACATCAAAATCGTTAATTAAAAAATTTTCAATTTGGTTAAATTCGTAAGTTCTACGGCAATGCCATTTTTTTTGGGTTTGCAAGTTAGCAATCTCTCAAAGTTCTGGGTGACAAGTGTGACGTAGTTATGCCTTACCACTAGTTCCAAAAAATGTTAAGATGGCTGAGAACATAAATGGGATTATCCTGCTTCAGCCTCCCAAAAAATCTTCTTCAAACCCTATGTCATTCCAGGACAGTTCCATTGCATGCTTTTATTTTCTGGTTTGCATTTGAGAGGTAGGAGACTAAGAATAAGCTTAAGAAAAATATGATCCTCACAGTCTTCAGTAAGGTTCCAACAATGATTTTGGGAACTTAGTTATTCTATTGTTAGTGAAGCTACCAAGCTCAGGCCTTGCTCTTGGAAGAACAAAATGAAAGTGATGAGTTCTGTCCAATCGAGTTTCTTGCTTTCTTTTTGGAGGTGTATAAGTTTTTCTTAAATAAGGTTAACACACACAAAACAGGTCTACGCTGCTTTATTATGAAAACATGAATTTGATAGTGCAATTCCTATGACACGTGTGCACCAAGCAATGTTTCCCTGTTTGCGAACAAATCAATAAGAAGTTGTCAATAATTCGCATAGTTGAGATCATTACATTTAGATGGATGAGTGGTAGACTATGAAGCACATATATTGCCTCAACACTGGAGCTAGAAATCACGGGCACTCTATTTCAGTTAGAGTGTCGGTGTCGGTCATATCTGGTATACGGACACTCACAGACACTTGTCGAACATACTAAAATAAGTGTCCTTTTTTTTTCTTTTTAAAACTTTTTTATGACACGCAGAGGACACGCTCGGGACACTTCAGGGACAGCGACCAATACACTCTATATGTGTTGGAGGATACGTTTTAAGAATTTTTTCAAAATTTTAAAAACTTGTCAAGTAACTTTATTATTAAGGAAGTTGTTTTTGTCATTCTAAAGAGATATGGGTCAAAGACATAATATAAACAAAGTTATAATCTCTATATGAACATAGGGCATAAATATAACAGAATTTCGGACACAAACGAAATTATATACAATTGGAAAAAACTTTATAAATGAAAGAATGTGATGAAAAATGAAGTTATGAATTGGGCTCTTTGAAATTTATGAAAATTAGAATTACAAAGTGAGATATCTTTTAAAATGGAAATTGTAATAGTCATTAATAGTTAAATCATAGATGTTTATGATGAATATGTATCAATATATTTGATATTGTATTTTTTATTCGGTATCATGATGTGAATTCATGGAATTAAGGATAGGATGAATTGAAGGATTATTACCAATATATATTTATTTTATTACATGATGACTTTTACAAAAAGGTGGAGAAAAAATGTAGGATTGAACGCATCTCCCAACGCATTCGTATCTTATTTTTTAAAAAAATTTCATATCAGCATGCCCATGTTATGTTACATTCGTGTCCAATGTTTGTGTTTGTGTCCGTACTTCTTAGACTTGAAATATAAATGTCTAATAAATATCAAATATAGATACGGATATGACCAGATATGCCTTGGATACATTAAAGATATTTTTTTATTTTTGACATATTTGGGATATATTGATAATACATGTTTCATACTTTTAGGATATGGCAAGGATGCACGATCTACACATTTAGGATACGTTAAGGATACTTTAGAGCTAAATTTATCATATTTTTTCATACTATAGCAAGCAAAATAAATATTTTTTAAAACAAAAAATATGGGAGTTCAAGGGTGTGTGTGTGTGAGAGAGAGAGAGAGTAATGGGGATCATGTAGGAATTAGATAGATGTTCTAGATTAATCATGAGAGTAATTTAGTATTTATTTTTTAAGTATTTTCTTTTAACTTTTAAGGGTTTAGTTATCATTTTGATTATTTATTTATTTTAGAGTTTGTGATCTCCTTATATATATAAGATTTGTGAACTCCTTATATATATAGGGGATACATAGTTATTGTGAGACTAAATTTTGATTATTATTGATATTGAATCATGATATTGCTTCTTCCTTAAATTCTCTCTTTGTTCTCATCTCTTTCTTCTTCATTTCTCATCCCCTTCTTCTTCCCTTCTCATCTCTAATTCTTCTCTAATATGATCTACATCAATTTGGTATCAAAGCTAACACGATCTACATCAGAGAGAGTGAGAGAGAGAGAGAGAGAGATACAGTGTTGTCAAAGACTGTAGGGTCAAAACCCATGATGGAACAGCAGACGCATTAAAACTATTGTTGCTCAGATCCCTGCAAGTGACTACAACCTTTCAGCTAAAGTATGGCAATGGGAAACACCATATAGTATACATCATAAAACCATCATGACACAAGATTTTAGCACATTTGTTTTGGACCAAACAAGATTTTAGCACATTTTTTCTGCTACTTACATGTAGTTGAGGGAATTCAGGCCAGTTAAATTGGGCAAGGCACCAGTCAGTTTGTTGTTTGACAAGTACCTGGAAGCAGATAGTGAAAAGTCTTTTTAGTGAGATGGTTCTTGCAATGCAGGATGATGCTGACTTCCTGGAAACTTAAGTTGTTTATTCCATTTTTTCGACTTACAGCTCTTTGAGAAGACTAAGGCTGTTGAGGTTTCGTGGGACAGTTCCACTTAATGCATTCCTGTCAAGACGTCTGTGGCCAGCATAGTCATTAGTTCAAAAACTTCAACAGGAATTCACAGCCAGAGAGTAAGTTAGTAGGATTTAGTAGAGAGTATGAGACAGAGATACTCACAACACCTCCAAAGTCTGTACAAGTCCTATTGTGGAAGGGATGTTGCCAATGAGATTGTTGCTTTCAAAAAGCCTGATCAAATTAATCATACATCCAAATACAGAAATCAATCTCTAGAGGAAATGTTTGTTGATTAAGGTGTCCGTACAATTAAAGGAAACAATTCTCACTGAATACCACATTGGCACAATTGTTTTCTAACCTGTTTTTAGAGGAGAGGACCAATTAACAAGTTAAGATATATAAACAAACCACTGCAGATTGTTCCCGTGAATGAAAAATAAAGATGTGTCCAAACAGAATAATCACTAAATAGTTGGAAAGCATAGTTGAGTGTAAGGGTAAGTTCGTCCCCACCTTCATCTCCGTACGGGTTTATACGGGTATCCCCGTATACATCCACCGTCTAATACGTATAGTCCATCCCTGGTCCAAACGGGACGGATTTGGACGAATACCCGCTTTTCCCCGGTCCACTGCCATCCCTAGTGCACACCCACATCCTATTCGGCATAGGATTTTCCCCTCCAAGAAGAAGCTTTATGCATCTCCTTTTTTTTTCTTTTTTTCTTTTTTTCTTTTTTTCTTTTTTTCTTTTTTTTTCTTTTTTGGCAAAAATAGTTGAGCAAACAATGTTTAGCAAAAAACATAGGTGAACACGTATATTGACACATAATATTGGCACTAATCTATCCCAAGTAATTTATAGATCTTATTGAGATATTCAATTTCTATAGCCAGTTCCATGGAACTTACACATGAATGAGAGTCATATTTGAGTTGAAAAGCCGTGGAGGGATTTCACCGGAAAGATGATTCTGTCCAAAATGACTACAAATAATAGACAGAATTTAAGGTTAATATCTATTTCTGAAGGAAATAATGGTTAATGAGAGAATAAGTCGTAAAAGGATAAGGGAAACGATATAATACATACAAATGCTTTGTATGGACCAGCATATCAAGACCAGGTGTGTTTCCATCAGATACTGGGATAGTGCCACTGAGCTTGTTGTCAGCTATATCCAACCAATAAAGATTTATTAGACTACCAATGGAAGGAGGTATTCCTCCAATGAAGTTGTTGGAATTCAGAGACCTGTAGAATACAGAATAAGATCATTGGAAATTTGTGTCTAGACAAAGAATTACACTAAAAACCTTAAGTCAAGATAAAATATCACCTTCAGGCACAATCAAGCGAGACTTTTTCAAATTGAAACAATGCAAACTTCTAAACACATGAATTAGAATAATTGAGCTACTGAGGAGAGATTTGACGGACAACAGTCCACAAAACAAATGAATTAGGTATTTGCTAACTTGAACTTATATCAAATCTTCCCAGGTTCTGTGATTCCGTTCATATAGACTCACGTCACCATGGAACACGAGTCTTAAACCATATGAGGGGTGCAGAATCTCTGTTCTAGAACAACGCCTAACACCAAGAAGAGAAGATTCCGCAGCCATGGCTTGTATGCAATATTAAATTCAACAAAAGGTTTCAAATCAAATGCACACAAAACTTAGACTTCAAAACAATGTTGCATATGCAGAAGTTACCAAAGTCGAATTTCTTACAAAGAAAGCAGCTGTTGTAGAGATCCTATCGTGTCTGGTATCAGACCAGAAAAACCACAACCAACCACGATTCTGTCATGCAAGCAGCAGAAAATGGTTTATAACAGGATTTGTATTAAACATGTTCATTATATGCAAACAGTCTAAATTTCCTTACAATCTTGCTAACTTCTTCAATTTTCCAATCGATGAAGGAAGAGATCCAGTTAATCCTTTATTGTATGAAAGATCCCTATATACAGAAGCGGATCATCAGAAATAATTTTTGACACCTTTTAACAAAAAAATGGAAAAACACGGGCCGCATATTAACTTTAGTTGGACTCATCATAACTGCTCTCCTTAATATTTGATGGGTAGAGCCTAGGAGGTTTCTCTTGAGGAATCATTACTGAAAAGAATGCTAGTCAATTTGGTAAAACATGGATCTGGATAACACTATCCCAGACATACAGCCTGATAAAACACTGGCCTCATTCAAGTAACTTTTTTGGTTGTCGTAATATGACCAACAAATTGCTTTTACAATGGATTATTTAGTTCTCTCAGCCCGGAACCGACCGGTCTCATCAGTGCTTGATACATTCCGCTACGACTGCTGAAATGTTGCATTCCAGTAGAATAATGGGATTTGAAAAACTGAAATGCACAATATTCTAGAAACTACAATGGTATTGAGTATTGTATGATGTTTCACAGGGTAAATGGTATCGTGGATTCATGTATGGGAGAAGAGATAAGTGCAAACAGAAGACCTACAGAATCTGTAATTCAGCCAACTCCTGGATGTCTCCAGACAGCTGACCAGTCAAATTCATGCTTGCCAATGTTCTGAAATTGGAAGTGATCAGACTAGCCTTAAAGAAAACATGAATTGCATTTTAAGTAACCTTCAATAATCGTGAAAAAAGGTGAAATGCATAAGGGAATTACATAGAAGTCACACGGGAATTGTTGCACCTAATTCCATCCCAACCAGCACCACATGGATCTGGCCCAACCCAATTGGGTGGTGTGTTTTGCCATATAGCCTGAAGAGACTGTAGAGCAACATCTGCATCATAAAGAGAATTTATTTCAGGTAAAATCGATTCCCTCGTTTCACTGCCAATTGAATTCTCCTATAAGTAAAGAAAATGACTTCTTGCATTGGAAAACAAGTGATACAGGGAACTAGCAGATTGTTTTATGAATGAATATTATAGCAAATATGAAATCATCTAGTCCAAAGAGCACAGATAGGCAATCTTCACTGTGGAGTTGTTTCCAACCAAATTAGATTATGATGTACAGAAGTGCATTATTAAACTTTGGTTTCAGGAAAAATTTTGGAGATGTTAAAAACGTATTCAAACATAATCATGTTTCTTCCAGTGTGTGAAAACAGAAAAATGAAATCCAGAACCTCTGCTAAACTGCTTCAAAACTGGGTTAATTAAGTTCAGTTTTGCAACCCAGAAATGATTCATAATTTTATGTTCTTTTTTCCCTTCATTTTCTCTGCCCCCAAACACAGAGCAAATTAAATATCAGAGGGAAGAAGAATAAAGATTGCCAAGTATGTACTTTCGTAATATGTTCAAAGGGCATCAACCTTCGAAGTAGGAACTGTGTTCTTTCTGGCAATGATCATAAAAGAAAAAAAAAGTAGCATCTACTGTAGACAAAAACACAGATCAAAGGAATTGAACTTACAATCCTGGTTATTTGTCTGAGCTGCTATAATCAGTACTGGGATGGAAATAACCAGAGAGCACACCCAAATTCTTGGACCCATTGTCAAGAAACAACCATATAGGTTCTCAAAGTAGCACAAATTCTGATCAAAAGCTATGAAACTCAAAACCTCAGCTCTTCATTAACTTAATCTCCACGGGAAAGATATTTTCAAAATGACACCACCCTCCTGCCATTGACTTCTAGTCAGACAAAAAAACAAAAACTAATTTGCCGCCAACTCATGCCCAAATTTCCAACCAAAAAAATCTGGCCACAAACTCTTCATCAAACTATCCTTTTTTTTTGGGGTAGTCCATGCATATTTTTTTGTGTTCCCGTCAATCACAATATAATAACTTCACACCAACATCTAACTTCCCTAATTTAGAAAAAATCTATTACAAAGAACGATTATACTATCGAAAGAGAAAATTATAATTTTTTGAGAGGGTAAATTATAATTGATTGATATGTCACACCCACAAATCCTTCCTCAAACTATGGATATGGAGTAATTCAAATAATAACAGTGACAAATTATAAATTCGGATGTCCTGCTTTTAAAATTTTACAATCTCTCTGTCCCTAGTCTTGAGGTGAATGTTAAGATGCGTGTAAAATTGACCTGAACATCATTACCATTGAATAAAAAAAACTGTTGACACATATTTTTTTGTGTTCATATCAATTGAAATATAATGACTTCTCTCACCAACTTGTAATTTTCCATCATTTAGAAAAGCTAATGCCTAATATATTCCTCCTTTAGTGTCAGAGGAGGTAACCCAAGTCTTGATTGGGCTTTGACAGTTGGCATCTACTATTGGAGATAAGGACGATTCAAGGCGTAATTAGCAAAGTTAATATGAGAGAAAAATTGATTATGATTGGATTAAGCCCCTTTGTTCTAGAAGCGAAATTTTTTCTGCATTCATTTTTGATAATGATGGGATCTTGGGTATGGGCCGCCAAGGTCTAAAAGCCCAATAAGTCCAGGAAACCCTTGCTTGTATAATGACCCAAATGAAACGCCCACGGCTTGCCCACATCAAAAGTAGAGAGGGCCGAGTCCAAAGGGCAAAGTCCAATGGCACCAGAGGACTTGCAGTCCAACCTAGCTCCAATCCAATTCAGCCAAAGGACATCCCAGGATAAAGAAGCCCAGCCTAACGCAAATTCTGGAATACTCCCCGTCGCGCCACATGTCTTGAGAACAAAGGGACCACTTTTGACACCCATGACAATCCCGCACTCCCTGATGCAGAGGGTGTTGGTGTACATAACCATTCAGGGATCGTGAGCACAATGGCGCTGAATAACAGAGATTGCTGCAGGACAACAGCAAAAGGGCCCACAGAATCAGTAAAAAGGAAGAAGGAGCCACCGAAAATCCTTAAGGGGATCACTCGTATAAATAAAACATTATTACCCTACCATAGCAGAGGATCATCTTCTTCATTACACTCTCGAGCCCTCAACACGGTGGGTAGAGTGAGAAGCATTTATTCTTGTAAAGGCCCTGTGTTTGCAATATCATTGTACTAACTATTAAATCAAGTAATATACACCCCAAGGAGAAAGAGACTCCCTTACAGTAGACGTAGTCTTAGTGTCTCGACTAAGGTGAACCACTTACACATTGTTTTCTTCTGTTCCCCATAAATTTACCTTTGAACTAGCTTACCCACTAAAATCCCCAAAGTATCATCTGATGGGCTTAGGCTATTATTTTCGAGCTCCATCAGTTGGCGCCGTCTGTGGGAACGGTTTTCATCATTTTCCTTTAAGTTTTTAGTTTGATGGTTTCAACTCGGAACATGAGTAAATCTCACGCCAATCCCCAAGTTCACCAAAACTTACTGGAGAAATTTTCGGCCCCCGAAGTGGACGTCGAGAATCGCCTCCCAGCGGTGGACCTCTCTTCGCTCAATGAATTGGAAGCCTATAGTCGAACCACGATGCAACTGATAAAGCAGAACCAAGAGTTGATAACGTGGATACAGACACACCAGCTTCTGCAATGCTCNTCGGCCCCCGAAGTGGACGTCGAGAATCGCCTCCCAGCGGTGGACCTCTCTTCGCTCAATGAATTGGAAGCCTATAGTCGAACCACGATGCAACTGATAAAGCAGAACCAAGAGTTGATAACGTGGATACAGACACACCAGCACATCTACTTACCCCTCCACCTCTGGCACAACACAACGCCCGTCCTCAGGAATGTCAAGCTCTGCCTAATTGAGTCACGGAGCTTCATGAGCACAACCACTCTAGAGAAAATCACCGAAGGAGACACCTGGAGGAACACAGCGAAGACGAGGCCCATAGTCGGACCAGAACCGCCTATAGGGAAGACATACCCCTTCCCCCGCCGAATGCCATGGATCATTTATTGGAGCAAAGACTCCACNAGACGAGGCCCATAGTCGGACCAGAACCGCCTATAGGGAAGACATACCCCTTCCCCCGCCGAATGCCATGGATCACTTATTGGAGCAAAGACTCCACGAGCTCCAACGAGAATTGGGTAACATGAAAGAAGTGGTTAAGGGGAAGACCCCTAACACCATGGACGCTCTAGTCCAGCAAATCGAGTCACCGTTCGCTCCCGAAATCCTTCACTTTCCTCTCCCCCGGAAATTTCGGATGCCATCAATAGAGGCATTCGACAGGACCAAAGATCCAATTGATCACTTGAACTCCTACAAAAATCAAATGGAACTCCAGGGTATCCAGACCCAATCCGCTGTCGAGTTTTTGCCATCACCCTCAAAGGGTCGACAATCGCTTGGTTTAACAGGTTACAACCACCATCGATCTCCTCCTTCAGGNTCCAGGGGTATCCAGACCCAATCCGCTGCCGAGTTTTTGCCATCACCCTCAAAGGGTCAACAATCGCTTGGTTTAACAGGTTACAACCACCATCGATCTCCTCCTTCAGGGAGCTATCTACACAATTTGTATCGTACTTCATCGGAGCAAGGACATACAAGAATCCATCCTACCACCTTTTGAGTGTCAAACAGGGGCCCAACGAGTCCCTCCGGAGATATGTACAATGCCTCAACCAAGATTGCCTGAAGGTAGAAACTGTGGACGACAAGTTCGCACTTACCACCTTCATGTCGGAACTCGAAGTCCAACCTAAGGACCTCCTATTTTCAATCACCAAAACCCCTTAGGCCACCATGGTTGAGGTACTCGCAAAAGTCAAGAAACACATCAATGCTGAGGAGGCCCTTCGACTAAAAAGAAGGTCAAGCTCTGCAGAAGGAGAAAAGAAGAAGAGAGAGAAGTCACAGGCAGGAGAGAAAACAAGATTGGTCCCCACGGCGGGATTGTTCCCCTAGAAAAGAGAGAGAGACCTCCTTAAAAAGGAGAGGCATCGTCAGAGATTGCCTTAGTGTAACACCTCCCCCCACTACCCAGCAAGATATTGTCCTCTTTGGCACAGGGTCACGGAACACCGTTCTCCTCCCCTGCCCTCAAGGGTTTGTTCTTCCCAGGGGTTCCCTGGGAAAAGGCCTCTTGCAAGGTAAGGGCTGAAGGCTTACTTATAAGCCCAGCAACTCCCCCCTCCGTAACCAATGTGGGATACCAGGATCT